TTTTTAATTTAAGGTTAATCGCCCACAACCTGTACTATATCGACACTCCGCTGGTGTATCGCGACGACAGAGTCGTGTGCTATCCTCTTTACAATCAAAAAGAAAGCGAAGCAATTCATTGACGAATTATCAGAAGAGGTTCGGCTTTTGATTTTTGTTTATTTTCGTTTTGAGTATTCACATGGTTCGATCTCATTTTTAACTTCCATTTTTTTCGCTTAGAACTTTTTATTGCTGGTTTCTCAGCTTACCAAATTTCTTTCTACCAGAAACAATGCTTGTTTCAGTCCTGGTACGTCAGTTTCACTACCGCCATCAGCTCGACAGACGCCAATGCGGTTTGGTGATGATGACGCACACAGGTAAAAATAGTTGTTAAATTGACATTCTGTTACTAGGCATTAGTTTTTTGCATTCATCAAAACATGCAGTTTATCTCCGCTTTTTTTGTGCGTGACTACGTTAAAAGATTGTTGTTGAAGGAGCTCTCTCGGCTCGTCTGATTCACATTCGTCTGTAGCTCGAAGTGAAGATTATTCTCAAGATTATGTAGCTGAAGAAGACGAAACTGTCATTTGTAAGTTGGATGGCTTGTTTTTTACAATGAAGTTGATTAATCAACTATATACAGGCAATTTCATATTCTACAATATTTCGAACTAGGTGATAAGAAGATCATGTTTTTGGTGTTTGTGTTTAAGCCTCAAAGTACCAGTTTTGCTGTTGGAAATAAATTAAACTAAAAAACTTCTTCTAATGGCTAACTTTTATCTTTACTTAATTATGTACCTATGATTTTGTTTTCTAGGCCAATACACTTCACCAGAATCAGTACTGCCGCCGACAGGACCTACTACAATGCCTGTCAACTTCAATCCTTATCTAACATACCGCGAGTCGAGGGAAGATGAAGCCATGGAGTGCGACTAACGGGTGAGAACATATATTGACAAATCCTACTCAGTGAGGCAGCAAGGAAATAGAGGTAGGAGGGAAGGAAAGAGGGAGTAGGAAGGGACCGGAGTGATCTTTTGAATAGTATGCAAATCTGGCAAACGTATGGCAAATGTACAAATGGTCAGCGTTCATCTTTGTCGGTTAATCAGATGCATTTGCATATCAAAACATTTGTTTGACTCGTCTAAACGCCTGGAGAGTATCCAACATCCTAAGGAATCTTCTTATCTGAAAATTATAATTGGTTGAAGTGCTTGTACGTAAACATATTTCGCCATTCTGTATGGTGATGACTCCATATGGGGTTATGTTAGGACTGCGGTAAACATAGGTTTTTTATGGATTTCCGATAAAAGGACTATCAAAAGATTGCTCTGTTCAATAGGAATGAATGGAACATGAAAATGAATGCAGATGAGTAATTGTGAGGGAAGGTGCATGCGCTTTCCTCACTTTATGCATTTTTTTTCATCAAAGCAGTTTATTTTAAAGTTACGGTAGACATGCTGTACAGTTTTTTGTGTAGGTTTAGTGATATGTTGAAGCGAAAAGATTTCCTCTTATAGTATAATGTTGGTGATGA